AGCTCAGTTACAGGTGGGCAGAAGGGATGGGGTAGTCTCAGATAGCTCAGTTACAGGTGGGCAGAAGGGATGGGGTAGCCTTAGATAGCTCAGTTGCAGGTGGGCAGAAGGGATGGGGTAGCCTCAGATAGCTCAGTTGCAGGTGGGCAGAAAGGATGGGGTAGCCTCAGATAGCTCTTTGACATTGAGGATTTCTTATGCAAACAAGCCTTTGTTAATTTCCTCATTGAAACATGAATAGATTTTTATAGTACTTACCCTTTAAATCTGATCTACTTCATTTTTATGTAGCACCCAACAAATAATTAGTGCATGAATTAAAGTTTAGCATAGAGTGGTCAGCAAGGAACTTACTCATCCTTTAGTGGGATAAGCAGATATTGAAAGAATTCCTTTTCTTATAGATAATTAATTAATTAAGTTCTGTGGGGGGAAAAGAAGTTCAGAATGATTTACAAAGAGTTGAAATTTTAGCTAAGAAAGGAAGGCTAAATGAAATACAGGAGATGATAAGATAAAACAGGTAAGAATGAGTTGTCCTGAGGACTGAAAGACAGGCAGTCTTTGGAGCAGAGGATGCTAATACAAAACCCAAGTCCTGGTCATGAGAAGAAAAGAAAAGGTATTTGCAAGGCATCTTAAGGAACCCAGATAGCAAGTGGGAAGTGAGTTTTCTCCCTCGAGTAACTCTGTCTTGTGTTAGGTTGTGTTGTACATTCAAAAGGAAACATCTGTATTACAAACAAAGCTACTTTAGAACCACCACAACTGTCTACCGAGGTGAAGTAGTGTTAGGACTGGGCAGTTTCATCCCCTTTTTATTTGATTTCTTCCTTTGAATCTGGCCTCCTTGGAACTGGGGCAGTATTTGATGTGCTGGATTGCTTAGATCGAGTCTTCTGCTATTGAAAATAAAAAGCCAGAGAGAATCCTCTCCTGTTTCCCTGGCTTAGAGTTTGTGTGGGTGTGTGCAGTGCAGCTGTGCTCTGGGTTCTTGGCAGTCAGATGGGGCAGTTCTCATGCAGTCATCCCAGAAGGAAGAAGCCTTCGTGTAAAAAGCCTACTTTGACTGGATTAGATTCAGCGGGAGGCGTCCAGGCTCCTGGCTGGTAGCCTCGTTTGTTTGGCTCCATGGATCCAGCAGCCTCAGGCCCATATACAGGCATTATGACAGTGCTATCAGAAAGAGAACATGAGAAACAGCTTTGTCTCAGTATAAAATTGCCACTTAGCAATACAGTTTTAAAATAAAGTTTTTATTAGTTATGATTTGTTCAAGCTTTTCTCTTTAAAGATCACATATTGAAAAAGGCAGACTGTGAAAACATTGCATGCAAATGTGAATTCAGAATTTTCTATGCTTTATTAGGATGCTCTTTTCCTAGATCCGTGTGTGCAGCAATGGATTCACAGCACTGCGTTCAGTGCTTCCTTGTCATCTGCAGCGCTGTCCGCCCTCTTGAGCAGTCTAGAAACACTCTTTGCCCAAACCCTCACATTACATGTGGAAACTACGCAACTCTTTTTCAGACCCACTCACAGCCTTCCCTTGAAGAAACTCATCGTAGCCTATTGAATTCTTTGAGCAGATGAAGCCCCTGGCTTGATGCTCAGGGTTCTCTCCTCTTTATAGCTTCATTGTTAGTTGTTACTTTCAAAGCAGTCCAGAGCAAGGTTCTGAGCTGAGTTCGCCTGTGTTCAAATCCAGTCTTTCCTAATAGGGTTTCCCTCTAACTTCTGCCTATTTCTCAAAAACAAACAAACAAACAAATAAACAAAAAAACAACCCACCCAAACCCAGAAGGATTATCCATTCTTGAAGACTTGAATGTTAGCATTCCTCTCTGGTTGGGGTGTTTTTCTCTCAGACCTTCAGAATTCTTTGGGTTTTTATTTTAGGTTTTAGTTGATATAGTCAACTCAGAGGGCTTATTTTCCTATCTTCTCTGTGTGAGATTTTCCCCTTCCCCATTTTCCTTAATGGCTCACAAGATTTAAACCTTTCCCCTGTCTTTCCTTTATTTCTAAGTTGCCCCACCCAAATGCTTGCCCGAGGCACTTAGCTTCCACAGGGACAGACATTTCCCTCATCTTGTTCACTGCCTTACTTGTGATGCTTAGGCTGGACCTGGCTCTCCAAGGGTATTTCACAGTGTTATGTGCATTGATGGGCTAGGGGAAGTGTCAGTCAAATCTATATCTGGTAAGTTATCTACACCCAGGGACATGGATTATTTCATCCTTTAAAAACTCTGTATTAATGCTTATTTTAGAATTAGTTTTGCTACTAGTTGTCTTAGTTGTTCTTTTGTGTTTCTTCTGTTTTAGATCCTGTGTCCTTAGGAAAAGCAAGTGTGTGTCTCAATATTTTAGTTTACTATAGAGTGCTAGATACTATTTTAGTACTAATTTAGTATTTGAATTTAATTAAAGATTTAATCTCCCATCTTTGCTTCTGCTGAAATTCTATAGCTGTGTACAGAGTTTTAATTCTGAGAATGGTGTGCTTTAAAATATACCTTCTTTTCTGTTTTGCAGTTCATAATTGGACCCTTGAGGATACCCTGCAGTGGTTGATAGAATTTGTTGAACTCCCGCAATATGAGAAGAATTTTAGGGATAATAATGTGAAGGGAACAACACTTCCCAGGTCAGTAGTTACCCAGAGGGCTTTTCCATGCATTGAGAAGTATGTTTTAGGTGATGCCACTTTTCAATTCTGAACCTACATGATAATTCTGGGCCTGATGGTATAAAGGAAATACTATAAATGTATTTCTTTTAACAATTGTATCTGTTTTCTTATTATAGTTTTATTCTTTGTGCATGCATATATAGTATGTATGTATGTTTGTGGCATGAGTGTGGGTCCATGTAGATGACCCAGCAGCATATATGGAAATTAGAGGACAACCTCAACTGGTGACCTGTATCTTCCACCTTCTTGAGACAGGGCCTCTTTTTACTAGTGTTTGTACATACCAGGTTAGCTGGCCCCCAAGCTTCTGAGTATTCTCTTGCCTCTACCTCCTAACTCACTCAAGAACTGTATTTTACATGAATCCCTCCACTCCTCAACCTACCCAAGAAGGCTTTTTACCTTCCACTTAGGTTTTTTGCATGCTTTGTTCGTTTTAAGCAGTTAAACACTAAGAGTGTGGTAAGAGCATTTTCAGCCACTGCTAACTAAAAGCTCCTAAAGTAAGAACTGTTTTTAAACATCTGCTAAAAATGTTTAGTAAGTCATGTAACTATTTTATTTTTCTTTGTGAAAATGCTGACATTTGTTGATTATTATAAAATACTTTCAGTTTTATAAATTTCTCAGTTAGAGCAAGTTATAATAGAAAGTCACTTTAGAAAACAGCAGCTCATCAATATAGCAAGACAGTTATTAATTAGCCCAAGGAAGGCTTTCAGTGGCTAAGTGTTATGAAAGGATTTCTGAAGTAGTGTGTTTTAATACAGATGAGTTCTCAACAGTGATCACCACTGTGCGAAGTAGTAAATATATTGCTTATGCATTGAAATTTATATAGTAGAAATACTTTGTCTATTACATATGAACTTTTTTTTTCTATGTACAGGATAGCAGTTCATGAAACTTCATTTATGATTTCCCAGTTGAAAATCAGCGACCGGAGTCACAGACAGAAACTTCAACTCAAAGCACTTGATGTGGTTTTGTTTGGGCCTCTGACACGTTAGTATCTCTTTCATTCAGTGTGATTCAGTAGTGTAGCCTGCCCATCCCTGTGTTGTTGAAGAAAACAGAGACTGGAGAGGAGCAGACCATCAAGAAGAGAGCCACTTGCTAACCGTGAAGGAAATATGGCTTATAAGATGAGCTGCTCTGCCACAAAAATGTGAATTTCCAAAAGTAGTTACAAATGTAAAAAGCTATGAAACTGGCTAGGTGATCATTTGGATTTCTAGATTTAAATTGTTGGGTTATTGTGACTGTTGATGTTAATTCAGCTGGATGTTCATCCTTAAGAACCATAGCAGTTTAACTCTTTTGATGGCACCAGTAGTAAGTCCTAACAGTGTCACTAGCCACCAGGAAAAGAACTTTGAAGATATAGATCAGAAGTAAAGACCCCTCAAATCTTTAGAAGGAACACAAAGTGGACACTGTTATTTGATTGGTTTGAAAAGGAATGTGTTATGTCACATTTTTATTAAATATTTTTAACCTGGACAGGAATACTTTTTTCCCCAGAAGAGAAGTTTATTATGTTTATTTAATATAAAATTTCTGAAAGTCTTTGGAGGAAGTGTTTGAACAGTATATATTTTAGAAGAATTCTGTTTTATTGTTTCAGAATCCTAAAAGGAATGTCAAAATTAATACAGGGAATATGGCTTTTACAGAATATAGATTAGGAAACTAATGTTATTCTCCCTGGATTCTGTAGTGTATCTCTGATACTGATTGAGGTGGGCTCTTCTATTGAAGGTTGAAGAGAGTGGTTCACTGATCACTTGACTTTGATCATGATTCTGTTTTGGCTGGAGCTAAGTGAGCAGTTGGTAAAGCAGTCTGAATTCCTTTGTGAGCTGATGGGCATTATAAGAGAGGAAGTGGAGCTCTGGTGAAAATGCCTAGGATCCCCAAACTCTGCTCCTTGTCCTTATTCCTTGTCTGAATCCACTAGGTGATTGTTTTCTGTGAAGTGTTTTTTTTTTTCCCATGAGCTGATTAGTGGAAACAAGAATTAGAGGTAGAGAATTTTGTCTACCTGCCGTTGGTTGGGAATGCTTCCTGTATCTATCTGGGAACAAGGTGCTTCATATCTAGAGAATATAGTATTATCAAATTGTTTTCAAAAAGTATTGTTAAACATGCATTTTAATAAGCAAACCAGCTCAGAAATTAATGATGTATTTACCTTTTAAATATGTTTGTTGTAGAATTACCATTTGACTGAACAAGTACCACAGTGTAATGCCCAAGCTAGATTTCTTTCTTTTTTTTTTTCCGAGACAGGGTTTCTCTGTGTAGCTTTGCGCCTTTCCTGGAACTCACTTGGTAGCCCAGGCTGGCCTCGAACTCACAGAGATCCTCCTGGATCTGCCTCCCGAGTGCTGGGATTAAAGGTGTGCGCCACCACTGCCCGGCTCAAGCTAGATTTCATACAAAAACTAATGTGGTCAAATGAAAAGATACATGTTAAAGGAGTTTTTACTCAACTCTCTAGTGTGTAGTGCTTTGGAATTTGGGACTGATGAATCTGCATATTGTTATTCCTGGAGATTATATTTCAGACAGAGTCAGAGAATAGGGCTCCTGGTTGAAATGAAGCCTGAGCTGAACCTCTTGGTTGGAAGCAGAAATCTAAGCAATCCCCTTTGAGACTGTAGCTACCTGCAGTGCATGTTTTACATGGCAGGTGAGGGTGTGTGCTCTGGAAATATGGAACACTGAGACTCTTTAGCATAGATACAAACACACATGCATCCTGGACTTGTTAGCCACTTGAGATTTCCATAGAGTTCATCCACAGGAAGCGTGCAGAATGTCTTGTGGCAGGAGCACTAAGGGTTTAGCTAATGTCTTAGTTAAGGTTTCTATTGCTGTGATGAAACATTATGACCAAAGCAACTTGGGGAGGAAAGGGTTTATTCAGCTTACACTTCCACATCACTGTTCATCACTGAAGGAAGTCAGGACAGGAACTCAAGCAGGGTAGTAACTAGGAGCCAGGAGCTGATAATCAGGCCATGGAGGAGTGCTGCTTACTGGCTTGCTCTTCATAGCTTGTTCATCCTGCTTTCTTATAGAACACAGGATCACCAGCCCAGGGATGACCCAACCACAGTGGACTAGGACCTCCTACATCAAACACTAATTAAGATAATGCCCTACAGACTTGCATACAGCTCGATCTTATGGAGGCATTTTCTCAGTTAAGGTTCCCTCCTCTCAGATGACTTAATAAGCTTTTGTCAAGATGACATAAAACTAACCAGGACAGGCAGTTTACCACTCTAAATTATATTTCCTTGGAGCATTAAAACACAACATTGTATTTTATTAGAGATCATGTATATCTCTTCTAAATGGTCCCTGGAAAGTTGGTGTATATTGACAGTCAGGGCTAGGTTAAAATGGTACTTGAGTAGAGGTTTTTCTATGTCTTATATTCCTGAAGACAGTAGCCCTGGTGCCTTTTGCCTTATATTGCAGGGCTGCATTGGCATCATAGCATGGTAGGCTAGGGAAGAAGGTTCCTGTGCTTTCCCTCCTCCTAACTCCTGTATCTCAAACAGATGGCCATTTGACCCACATTACCAGCTAGCTATGTACACCCAGGACTTCTCAGCTCTGTACATGGTGGAGTAGTGCATAGTGTTTGTTACTAGTAGAGGGTATGGGGGAAGAGGCTTCTTGTCAGTTGTAGGGTGCTGGGGTATTCCTGGCCTCAACTCTTGAGGTGCAAGCAGCAACTTCCCCCACACTTCCCTGTGTGTTAACAAAACACTGTCATGTCTGTTTGGTGGGTAGCATGTCCCCCAACGTCACAGTCCACTGATGAGCACAGTTTGTTGTGTATACGTACTTGGGAAAGTGCCTTTTGGTGAACAACTGGTTATCCAGTTTGTGTCTCATTGTTAGTGACCTGGCCTGACTGAGGAAAATGGAAGCAAGTCATGGCCCTCTTTACTCTGCCGGGGCTTCTCTCAGTAGCATGGCATTGGAAATGAGGCCTGACATGGCCATGTGTGTTTTTCTCTGCCTCTCTGCAGGTCCCGTCTATTAGTTAGCATACTGATTGTTGGAAAATAAGCATACTGACTGTTGGAAGAGAGTTTTGATTTTATTAGGCTAGAATTTGTATCTGGGGGATGGAGATGTTTAGTTTTGTTTGCTTTGGATATCTGCTTTTCTGTACATTTACATTATGTTGCATTCAAAAATTAACTATCTGCTTTTTTCCCCCACAGGCCCACCTCATAACTGGATGAAGGATTTTATTCTCACAATTTCCATAGTAATTGGTGTTGGGGGGTGTTGGTTTGCATATACACAAAATAAGACATCAAAGGAACATGTTGCAAAAATGATGAAAGACCTAGAGAGTCTACAAACTGCAGAGCAAAGTCTCATGGACTTACAAGAGAGGTAACTGAAGCATCCCCCTCAGCCTGGGCGCGGTGGCTGGTGTTGGGGGTCCTGGAGGTAGAGCTAGAATGGCCACTTCAGGTCATCTTTGGCTTTATAGCTAGTGACTCTAAGGTCAGCTTGTGCTATGTGAACTTGTCTCAGAAAAACAAAATAAGACAAAATGAATTACTAAAACCAGGCTTAACTCTTATTAGTCACACAAGCAAATATATCTGGTGATAATGATACCCGAGAGTATATGTAAACACTTATTTTGGGTTAGTGTTCATATTGGGTATAAATGCTCATTTCATTTTGTATTTTAGAGAATTACAACTTGGGAATAAATGTGTAGAATATCAGAGGAAAGGTAGAAAGTAGTTGAATATTTACAAGTTTCTGGACAGTATCGTTGCAGAGACTGTTTTCTGCAGTCCTTGTCTTTTGAACCCAAAATAACAAAAAATAGCCAAATATTAGGTTGCCGGGTATTTATGCTAATTTAAGATGAATAGAAATACTATTAAATTCTGATTTTAAAAAGTATGATGTTGTTTGAAACAATGTTTTTTTCATAAAAGTGAAATTCTGGATACTTGAGGAATTTTTTAAAAATTTATTGTTCTCTAAGACTTGAAAAGGCACAGGAAGAAAACAGAACTGTTGCTGTAGAAAAGCAAAATCTAGAGCGAAAAATGATGGATGAAATCAACTACGCCAAGGAGGAGGCCTGCCGGCTGAGAGAGCTGAGGGAAGGTGCAGAGTGTGAGCTGAGCAGACGCCAGTATGCAGAGCAGGAGCTGGAGCAGGTATCGCCCTTTTTTTTTGTTTGTTTGTTTGTTTTTTGTTTTTTGTTTTTTGAGACAGGGTTTCTCTGTGTACCTTTCCTGGATCTCGCTCTGTAGCCCTGGCTGGCCTCTAACTCACAGAGATCCTCCTGCCTCTGCCTCTCGAGTGTTGGGATTAAAAGCATGCACCACGGTGCAGGTATCACTCTTAAGAAGGTGTTCCTATTGCTACTCAGGGGAGCAGGGCCAGTGTTTTCTTTTTCTTTTTCTTTTTCTTTTTCTTTTGTTTTGTCCCATCTTCTGTATCTGCATTTATTTTCATTGTATACTGTTCCTCAGCTAGTAAAATGTTTTCAGCATTGATGAATTCATATTTTAAAAATAACAAAGTGGTAACTGAAAGGTGAAGTTGCCAGCATGTTTCTTCTTCCATGCAACATAGGTCATGCTATGTTTGTTGCCTAGAGTTCACTTGAGGTGTTTATTAGTATCTGCAGTAAGTTTGAGTTTCAAATGTCACCTAGTAAGAGAAAGGACATCTGGTTTTGGGCTTCTGTAAAGCCAAAGGCTACAGATGTTGAGGATTTCTATTAGTCATTCCTGTTAGATAGCTTTAGAACATAATTTTCTGAAATCTTCAAAGTTATCTACAAAGATGTCCTTCCTGATGTCTGCTTCCTCCACCCAGCTACTCAAAATAGGATGGAGTAGGCTTTCAGACATTTCACAATGCTTTGGAGAAGAGAGGATTGTAGAAGAATCTCATGGCATGCATGTGTGTCAATTTCCTGTTCCTGCAGCGGGGTAGTTTGAATGTAATTGGCTCCCATAAGCTCATAGTGAATGGCACTATTAGGAGGTGTGACATTGTTGGAGGAAGTATGTCACTGTGGGGGTGGACTTTGAGGTCTCCTATGTTCAAGCTATGCCCAGTGAGACAGTTCACTTTCTATTGCCTGTGGATCAAATTGTAGAATTCTCAACTCCTTCTCCAGCACCATGTCCCACTGTGATGATAATGGACTAAACCTCTGAAACTGTAAGCTAGGTTCACTTAAATGTTTTCTTTTATAAGAGTTGCTGTGGACTTGGTGTCTCTTCACAGTAGTAGAAACCCTCAGACATGCAGAGACAAATTACTCCAAGCTTGTGGCATAAATAAATGTAGATTCATCATCACTCTGTAATGTCTGCAGGGCCGAATCTAGTGGAGCCTGTGCGGGAAGATCTGTTTCCTTCTCCATTCAGGAAGCTGCCTGTATTTCTTGTTCTGTGGCCCTTCTTTCATCTTCAGAATACATTCTGTGAACCGCTGTGTCCCTAATGCCATCTCATTTTTCTGACTTGGCCATTTATTGACTGAAAAACTGAGAAGCAAAATGAGGATTGGGAGACTTGTTCAGAATTAGTCAATTACCAAGCAGGGCCAAGAATCTAAGTATTCTTATGAGTATTCAGTTCAGAGCGCTTGTTTGTGCCTTCAGTTGCTTGCTCTGAATGTGAACCCTGTGCTGTGCTGAAAAGAGAAGGTTATAGTAGGGAGGTTGAGTAACTGCTGCCTTGTGTTAACACAACTGTTATTCAGCCAAGGCAAGATTTGGTGTGTCCTATTCCAAATCTGTGTTTTCCTGTACTGATGTTTAATGCTTCATTTACTGAAGTAATTCAACTGGGAAATTAATGTAGGTATAGCCATATGTTACCCTACAATTCCATATAGTTTGAAACATACTTTTTTCCTAGTGGAGATAACTTCAAAAATGATCATATGGTATTATTTTCCTTAAATGAAGACTTTTGGCTAACTAATATTATCACTTTATATTTTTTTGTTATTAAAATAGTTTTCACCTCATGATTTTGCTCCTAAAAATCTCATGTTACCATTGTAAGTCTCAGACAGTGAGCCTCATAAGTGTGGATCTTGCCAAAAGCATCATGGGCTTATACAATCAAATTAGGTCTAGAAGCCAGGTTTGAGGTGTGTGGGTTGTTTATTTCTGATGTGTTTCTACTTGTTGTTGTTTTATTTTTAATGTGCCAGAGTTATATAAATAGTTTTCAGGTATATAACTCATTTGTAAAAGCTACTAGCTAATTTGACTTTGACCATCCTCATGAATAACAGCATAACTCAAAATAAGAGTTAAGATTTCATTAAGTAACAAAGCCATGAATAATAACTGTTGAATAGTCATTAATATGGAATGGTCATAAATTTCACAGGTTTGAGACATATTTAACAGTTAATTTAAGGGTTGCTCAGCCTCAATTTATGCCCCAAAATATATAGTTTCAGTGCAAAATAATTGAACTATTTTAAGGGAAATAAATTTACGGAAAATCTTTAGGATTATCAAGTGTTTAGTAGCCTGCACATTTAAATTACACTGGATTCTTAGTTTCAAAGTCTTGTGAGAGGAAAGGCTTGCTGCATTCTGCTTGTGGTGTTCTGTAGGGCCACGTGTTGCAGGGCATGACCACGAATTTTTTCTTCCTGAGAGATTAGCAGGGACGCCACAGAGCTTAGCCACCGTCTAATTCAATTCACATTGTCCCATATACGTTACACAATAAATCTTGCCAGGTGAGTGTTGCCTGAGAAGTCGCTTCTACTGAAAAAGCCTTCCTTTTTTAAGTTCCAAGTTCCAACTCTTTCCCTTTTTTTAGATTTATGAACTGTGTGTCTTGTGATTTCTTTTTAATTTTGGAGTTTTAAAATATTTTTCCACACTGCCCAACAGCTGTTCTATTTCTTTATCAAAAGTTTGTGTAGTCCTCTTCTTAGTTTATTCTGGCAAACAGAAAAGTTTATTTAAATAAGTTGGGTTTGTTCAGATCAAACATTCCTCTGCACTTTGGTTTAGGAATGGAGTTTCAGTTGCCTTAGTTAGCTTGTGAGAGCAATTACTCCACAGTTAGGGTCGGACACCAGAAGCACTGTGCTGCACGGTGCACCCATGGCTTTGTGGGAAGGCTGGGAGTTACGCACACCAATCCCACCATGTGTCACCTCATATCTTCTCGTTCGTACCCTGTCAAAATGTTAAGTAAGCTAGTCTAAGAATAGATTTTCTCTTCTGACTTTGTTAGTGAGGCTTCTCTTTAGATATTTTTTCCTTAGCAGTTATACTTAACACATCAGACATTTTATTTTGTTGTTTAATTTGATGGCCCCTTAATTGGCATGTGGGAGAAATACTTCATATCTACAAGGAAGGCAATACATAGTTTCTCACAGGGAAAATCAAGTCTATTCTTGACTAGAAGTGATTTTCTTGAAATTTACACAGTCTACTCATGCTCAGTGTCTACTTGTTGTTTGCTGTATAAGGAGCAGTGGATGAGATAGAAAGGGTGGAACAGACTGTAGTAAGAGAAGCATGAGTGCAGACGAAATTCTAAACAGTCTCATTAAATAAGAAGCACAGAGCCAAATACAGAGTTAAAAGCCCAAGAGATCAGAGCACTAGCGAAGAGCCGAGACTACCTTTATCTTACCACTCGCTGCCGTCCTTCCCCTGAGAGATTTTTCTCCCTGTGTGACTTGTCTTTTTATTGCCTTTATGTTCTGCCTTCTCATTGGCTCTAAACCCAACCACATGACTTCCTCATTACTGCCTGTCTATAGAGACCTCCAGGACTCTATGGTTGGTACTGGGATTAAAGGTTGGGGTCACCTACACTTGGCTGTGTCCTTGACTTGATCGGACTAAGGGCGTGGGCTACCACCACCTGACTTCTGTTCCTGGCTCGCTAATGACCTCTGATCTACAGGCAAACTTTATTTATTAACATACAAATAAAATCACATTTCAGCACAATTGAAATATCACCACACAAGAGAAATAACAGACAGGGTATCAGGCAGTGAGAACCAGAAAGTCCCCTACGTTTCAGGCATTGCTTCGTATCCTAGGTGACAAAAAATACATTGTGGGGAACGTGTGATCAGCAGTTTGTTTGTTTCCTAGATTTTTTTCCCCCTCTGTGCCCTACTTCTCTTAGCTTGACAACTATAAAATACAAAAACTAAATACTTCAACTTTTTATATGTGAGGGGCCCATATGCCCTTCTCTAAGCTGTGACTTTTTAGCTTTGCCCAGTAACTTTAGAATGCAGTTAAAGTCAGCTCTAGTTTGAAATAAAAAGTACCTTTGGATTTAGTGACTTTAAAAGGTTTTTGTAAAATCCATAATTGAGTTGGTTTTTCTTTTTGTTTTGGTACCAACTTTTATTCCACTCTTCCCTTTCTTTGTGTCTTCTTCCTTTTGTCCTTGCAGGTCCGCATGGCTCTAAAAAAGGCTGAAAAGGAGTTTGAAATGAGAAGCAGCTGGTCTGTTCCTGATGCGCTTCAGAAATGGCTTCAGCTAACACATGAAGTCGAAGTACAGTACTACAATATTAAGAGACAGAATGCTGAGATGCAACTAGCCATCGCTAAGGACGAGGTATTATCTTACTTCATGATTAATCACCCGGAATACAAAAACTCCAGTAAAAGCCCTTCTTGAAGATTCTGTTTTTAAAATCAGAGTTTGTCATGTAAATTGAATCTTGTAATTATTGAATTTAAAGTAAAATTACTTTCTCTAGAGAAGTGCATATATAGCTTTCAAAATTACCTTAACCTCCTTGAGAAATTGTCATTGTTATCACTATTGTAAACGTTTTATACGGAGCTTTTCTCCTCCAGGTTGCTGCCTCATATCTGATGCAGGTTAGTAGTTACTAGAAATTCATGTTTGCTGTTATTAAATTGTGTGGAATAAGAGTAAGCCTTAATCTGAATTCTGGAAAAAATGCATAGTTGACTAACCCTCATTGCAATAGGATTTGGTTCATGTTTTTCTGTTAGTTTTAATAGAAGATTCTGGTCCTTCTCAGCTATAGAAATAAGAAAAACAGTTCTCTAGAACAAAGGCTTTAAATGTCTTTGACTTAGGAAAGCATGCTTTCTTTCTCATCTGTTTTCTTATTTTGAAAACATGTCTGTATCTTGGCTAATAATTTTCTACTGGTTTTATGATTATTAATACAGTCAAAAACAAAATCAACTTTACTAGTATGTAAATAGTCATTTTCCTAAACCTAGCCTTACCTTTTCCCTTTTGGGTTTCCAGGCAGAAAAAATTAAAAAGAAGAGAAGCACAGTCTTTGGGACCCTGCATGTTGCGCATAGCTCCTCCCTGGATGAAGTAGATCACAAGATTCTGGAAGCCAAGTGAGATGCTCTTTTACCAGTCTGTCTAGTACAGTGTTGAGCCGTGTACTAGGTAGATAATATATATTTAATCAGTGAAGCTTACGTAGTGACATAATTTATACCAATTCTGAAACTGGATAATTTCTTCTTGAGATCAGCCAATTTCCATGATCTGTCACTGCCTTCATTTCAGTATCATATTCAAGACTTCAATGCAGTAAGTAATTCATCTATTGACTTTTCAGGAAAGCGCTCTCTGAGCTGACAACGTGTTTGCGAGAGCGGCTTTTTCGCTGGCAGCAGATTGAGAAGATCTGTGGCTTTCAGATAGCTCACAACTCTGGGCTCCCCAGCCTTACCTCCTCTCTGTACTCTGACCACAGCTGGGTGGTGATGCCTAGAGTCTCCATCCCACCCTACCCTATTGCTGGAGGAGTCGATGACTTAGATGAAGACACCCCCCCAATAGTGTCACAGTTTCCAGGTAAGTGAGTTCAGCCAAGTTAGTTCCTGACGTGCCCTTTTAGGAATGACGCACTTTGACATCTAGGGGGCAAAGGTACTCTTGTTTCTTTTTATTATTTATTTTATTCCGTGAGAGTACTATATGAGATATTCTCATCTATGTATTCTTTATATATGTGTTATATATTCTGTTTTTGAAATACACCTTATCAAGAGGCATAAATAATTGAATAATTTGCATAATTTAGCAATAGTTATATTTCAGCAATTGTTATATATAACTCATTGTAGGATTTTGCTTTTTAAACCATTACTTTTCATTAAATTGAAATGGGAGAGTCACATTAAAAAGGGACAGATACACCATTATGGCTGCCAGTGGTTATATAAATGGAATGCTGAACTGATGGAAAACTGCAGTAGAAAGGAAGATTAAGGGAAGGTTTTAGACGCCTGGCTTTGGGTGCTAGCTCTGCTGGAGTCCGCTCTTGACTCTTCGTAAGCTCAGGATTTGTGCCATTCCCAAGGCTTTTTTTTTTTTTTTTTTCTTTTCAGTGTGTTCTTTTATTGTAGTGTTACCCTGCTCTGTGTATATCATGAGGTACTGATTCTGTTTGCCTTTAACAAAAGCTGTGCTTGTTTATAAAACTTAGACGTGATAAGTATGTGTGCTTATGTAAGACACGTTATCTATACATGTAAATAAGTAAGATGTGTTCTGGTTGTTTTAAGATGAGGCATGCTGTGTGGCTCAGGCCGGCCTCCTGCCTTACCCTCTGAGTATTAGGGTTATACATGTGTGCCACCATGTTTCTTTGCCAGACTGTGAGTGAGTCCTTCCACAGGAGGCTCTGTGTGTGCAGTACATTGCTTAGTTCTATGCTATGCTTTTGAGTTTTACTTTGTGAAAACACATTTTGGTAAGATAAAATTTGAATGCTTTGACTTTTGACTTTCTGCAGAATTACAGATGCTTTCCATTTGCAGCTTTTTTAGATTAGGAATCATTTGGAAAACGTTTTATTCTTATTACTGCTTGCCCGGTCCGTTTCCCTGTATCTGTGACTTCTTACGGTGTCAGTAGAACAGAGCTCTGAAGAACGGAGAAGTGTGTTAGTTTAGTCTTTGGTTAGCTGAAAACGTACGGTTTCGTTCTTGAGACCGATCAAGTCATCTTACCTGAGTATTTTAGTTTTGACTTCCTATTCAACTCTTACTGCCTTCCGGAAACTGCTGCAACAGCTCTGGTCGTGTAGAACAGTTGTTATCCAGTCAGGCTTTAATTTGCCAGCACAGTGACCATGCCTCTGTTGTTCTGGCTTTAATCCTCTGTGGTGCAGTGAAGTGAGGGAGCGGTAGTGACTGTCACAGAGGAGCGGCTGAGAGGGACAGCTTATAAGTTTGGGGACACCAGAAGCCGGTGGTGACCTCATGTCCTTGTTTGGGCTGCATCTATATTCAAGCTGGCTTACGAGTTGAATTTGTCTATTCTATTTGTTTGTTTATTTGTTTATATATGTGCCCTACATAACACTGATTCATAAATATATGCATTTGTGTAAATACAAAACCTTTTAAAAATAGTTTTTATTTAAAATATATAATTGTTATGAATGAGAATTGTACTTGAGGATGATCTATTTCCATTATTATTATTTGCCTGTTTTGAAGCACTTTTTTGTTGTTTTGGTTCATTAAAAGAAAATACTAAGTGTGAATAATTGGCATATGTTTTAAATAATATATTATACATAGACATTAATACTTATAAATATGAAAAAGTACAAGAGCTGGTTTGAAATTTAATAGAAAGTTTTAGGAATTAAACTGATTGCTCATAGGATTGGAGAGCTGTGCCTCCACCTACTGGCCATATAGTGTTACTCCATTCTGCTTTGTTACAAGAGCCTAAGTTCTGGACCTTGTAAAACAAAGGCTGTCAGCCTTAAGAATAGTGTCTAAGGTACGATGAAAGGGCTTCATTTAGATGCCTCTTTGTTGGTCTATATTATGTGTTAGTTATGTTTGAAATAATGAACAGGAAGCATGCCTGTTGTATGTAAAGAACAAAGTAAAAGATTCTAATACATGAATAATGCTATCTGTAATTCTAAGTGAAGAAACCCCAGAAACTGTTAATTGATATCTTTATTGTGAGTAGAAGAATAGAGAATAGAATTACTCCCCCTCCTCCTCCTCCCACAGCAAGTTTGGGACTTATGTGCTATTATTTCCTTGATGTTTGGGAGACATTTAATGCAGATATTTAACCTGCTTGTTGATCTGTTTTATCCCAGGGCTCTTAAGTAAGGTTTGTTTTCGAACTCTTCTTCCCTTCCTCTTCCCTCCCTCCTCTCTCATTCTCGACAGTTGGGGTGCTCCAGAGAACTTGAACTGTAGTGACTCTTCATTTGTGTATTAGTATTCTCTGGTGCTTTCTGATGTGTGGATTGCCACTTATAACCGCCTGTCACTTCTGGTATAATTTTAGCCATTATTTAAATATACTTCTATGTTTATTGTTATGTTTTACTTTTCTTTCCTCCTTTTTGTTCTCTACTGAAAGCATAGTGTTGATTAGTATTTTGTTAAACAAATTAAAAGCGAGAAATTCTGTCTTTGGCAGAAAGTGTCTGTTTTCACCTTTACTGGAAAATAATAGTTTAGCTAGATAACAGGTGTAGTTCAATTTGATTCCTTATTTTCTCCAGACTGTTTTGAAGTTGTTGGTGAGAAGTTTGTCCTTACTCAAATTGTTAGTTTCTGTTTAGGTAATCAGTGATTTCTGATACCAGGAGAATTGTTTCATTTCTTGTTCGGTGGTTTCATCATAATATGATTGACAAGTCAAGACATCAGAATAGACAGGAAGGCAAAGGAGAAGTCAAAACTCTTGATTGGTCAAGGGTCAGATGAGTCTTAGAAGTGAAATTACTCACATTGATGATGAGTGCATGGTTTGGCCAGAGCGAGAGAGACTGCTGGGGAGAAAGCACTGTCATGTAGTCTGGGGATTCGTGTTGTCTAATAGCGTGAGCTTCAGAAAGAACCCAGTTTATAAAGGGTGCAGGAGTAAGGTTTGCCAGCACCTCCTGTCCTGGTGCTGTAGTACTGAGGAATGCAGCAGGCACCAAGAGCCAGCTTGAGCGTGCTGAAGAAGGTGTTCTTGGGCAGCTTGAGTGCAGGAAAAGAAACTGAAGATGAGTCCAATTGTTCCACATGCATGGGTCTAGCTTGAGGCAGGTGGTAAACACAGGGAATTCTAAGACAAAGACTTAGTCCATGAGGATCTGTGTTCAGGAAGCAAGCTTTGGTTTCAGCTAAGAGAATGTCTGTACAGTCTTTAAACCTTCTTAAAGGTTGAACATGTGGTGATATGTCAAAGACTATCCATTGATACTTTATTCTATTCTTTCTTCTGCTTCAGTATAGTGTTCATAAATAGTTTATCACTCCTTATAAATATGCTATATTGACTTTAAATTTAAATGTTATTTTGAATAAAGTTTTAAGTCTTTGTTTTTAGTAGTGTTAGATTTTTACAGTAAAACTACATTTATTATTATTTTCATTTAGTTTTAACTCCATTACCATTTTTATTACATTTGTAATTATTGCTGTTTAATTTTTTGTAGGTGGTAGAGAATGGCAGTTATTATATAGTTAGCTGAATAAACATTAAATCTGATATTTTACTACATCAATTCTTGTATACATATTTGTAAGAAGACAGTTAAGGGCTGAGGGACATTGGTGGTTATGAGAGTTTCTGTTGGCTTGTGTTTTTCAGGGACCGTGCCTAAACCTGCTGGGTCTTTAGCCAGGAGCAGTAGTTTATGCCGCTCTCGTCGAAGCATTGTGCCGTCCTCCCCACAGTCCTTGCGAGCTCAGCTTCCTCCACATGCTCCTCTGGTAGCCCACCCTCGGCATCCTCACCATCCCCAGCATCCCCAGCACTCACTACCTTCCCCAGATCCAGACATTCTGTCTGTGTCAAGTTGCCCTGCTCTGTATCGGAATGAAGAGGACGAGGAGGCCATCTACTTCACTGCTGAAAAACAATGGTATTGGCTATCAATAACTGCAGAGTGTGGGGCTGAGAGGGTATAGTAGCAGCAGCAGTGCTGCTGTGTATTCTGGGGTTACACAACCAGCTTTCACAGACTCAGTGGCTTCACGTGACACTGTTTATGGACACTCAGGTCTGTACATCTGAAGTGCAAGTCTGGGCTGGCTGGGTTTCCTGCTCAGGGTATCAGAGGCTAAAATCAAGATGCTGGCTGGGCCGAGTTCTCATGTGGAATCTGGAGTGCCCTCTGAGCCTCCTGTGTTTGTGGCAGAACTCAGTTCCTTGTGGTTGTATTGCTGAGGGCTTGTTTCTGGGTCACTAGAAGCATGGGGTCTGGTTGCTTTCAGTTTCTAAAGGCCACTCCACTGTTCCTTGTCGGGTGACCTAATCTTTAATGCTGATAGCAGCAACCTGCCTTCTGTATTTTCTCTTTGCTGATCGGCTTGGCTGAACAATCATCTTTATGAATACCAGTGAGTTTGGGGCCGTAGTATTTGCAGATCCCTTCTCATCAGCATTTGTGTTTCCTCTTTGGACCTTAGGAGACCTGGGGAATTCAGAAGCCAGTGGAGAGCTCTGTTGCCACTGGGCTGTCAGAGCTTTGGGAGGTGTAACTGCAGAGATGGTAACAAGTGCAGTTGATGAGTCTCCAACCATAAACTTGTCAGGTGAAAATGTGGATGTAAAATAGAGCATCTTGGACTTGAGTATGCCTCCACATAAAGAGACATCAGTATGACTGAAATTTCAAAATAATTTGTTGCTTGCTAGCACATAGGGCTCAAGAAGATATTGGGAGCTTAATGGAGAGAATGATAACATTAAATTAAATTCATGACTTAACTTCTTTGCCACAGTGAGTATAGCTGCATGCATTCCATTCTGTCTTGAGGGCGCCAGTGCACTGTGAGACCTGTTGCTGTGGGGAGCTCACTTCTAAACTGTCTTCCTCTTCTCAAGCAGAGTGGTGTTTGTGACAGGAAAACTGCCCTTAGTTATCAGCACTGCACATGGTGGTTCCTCACAGCTGTCAGTCACATGACTCTGGTGACATTACCGTCAGATCGCTTGTCACCTGTAATCATTGCTCTGCCTAGTGAACGTTAGGTTTTAATTAGCAGGTAATCTCTGAGGCTTCTTCCTAAGGAAATGATCAGGGTTTGCAGTCTCATTGCAAGTAGAGAATTTGATGCACCTTTCCTCAGGAAGCCTGTTATCATTAGCATTTTATGTGTCTTTGTAGTATAACCACAGCCATGAGCAGGAGGCGTTACTCTCACATCATTTTTCGGTGGCTTCTGGAAAGTAGTAGGGCCGCCAGAGCTGCCCTGTCCCACCACACCTTTCTGTCATGGAAATGTTAAGTTCTTGTTTCACATAGCATGGCAGAACTTCACAGCTGCCACATGAGTGTGGGAGGAATTTGACTTAGCACCTGTGCTGCTTTCCTCAAGATGGCTGTCTGCCGGGGAGCCAGCCTCCTGTGTTCCACACAGTGTACACATGTACCCTCAGCTAGCCCTCACCCATGCTGGGGAGCCAGCCTTCTGTGTTCCACACAGTGTACACATGTACCCTCAGCTAGCCCTTACCCAACATGTCTTCTTCATTTTCTTTCTAAACACGTATGTTCTTATAAAACTTGTATGTGTTTAGTTACACGTGACCACGGGGAAAATGATACAAAATTAATGTAATGGTGTATATGATTAAGTTCAGTTCCAAAGGAAACATTCGCCACAAAGAATGTGCATTTAAAAACATAGAGTAATTTTCATTTGTGCAGTACCTGGGATGCAGATCTGATCAGTTACATGGAAGAAGAAATCCGTTTGGTCATTGCTGTTTTTTAATTGGAATGTTAGAAGTAGATGCAACATTAAAGACAAATCTAAGTCTCTTACTTTGGCATATAAGAAAATTGAGACTAGAGAAATGAGATGATTTTCGTGAAGTTGACAGCTGATTAACAACAGGACTAGGGGAGGAGGGAGGAGCCATGTCTCCTGAGCTTGGTAATCTTTTTACATGACACCCTTGCGGGACTAGGAGATAATGCTTCTTATGGAAGCTTGTGTGAAGACAGTCTTTTGGGTTAGCAATGTAGTTCAGTAGGTAAAGGCACTTGCTGCCTAGCCTGATTACCTTGGCTCACTTCCCAGGACCCACCCACATTGTAGATAAAGAGCCGGTTCCTGTAAACTGTCCTCTGACCCCCACATTTGAGCCAAGGGACTTAACACACAGACATATAGCATAAATAAATGGACACACAGACGTATAAATACACACATATAACATAAGTAAATGTAGTAGAACACATTTAAGGAAGGTTTACATATATAGTATGAGTAAAACAAAATATGTGAGTAAATAAGTTCAGCAATCTAATGTGGATCTAAAATATAATATTAATTTGAAATAACTGTCAGAAATAAGTGAGTGTAAAAAATGTGAAAAATGATAGTAGTCATAGAGCATTCACTGTAAGAGATTAATTCTATAAATATGAGTTTGGTGCTTGCTATGTCCTACATACTCGATACCTTGAGCTACCAAGGTAAGTAAGACACCCTGGGCTAGCTCCAGCTGGGAGATCATTTTCCTGTGAGGTTTTACTTTGCTGCTCTGTCTTTAGTCCTGTTGGTTTTTTCCTTACTTCCTTCACCCAGTTCTACCATAATTTTATCTCCCATTTTTAAAGAACTCTTTAATGAAGTTGTGCTGAGTGCACACAGAAACCAATTAGAAATGGTTCCTGTTCCTCAGGATTTCATTCACTCTTCATTCTGTATGTATTTATTAATCTTACTGTGCGGTTGCCATGAATTACAATGCAGAGAATACAATCATTAATAAGATCTCCTAGTCGTAATAGGATTTTTTTTTTTCCTTTGAAGTTAATAGAAAATACCATCTTTGTTACTAGGCCATGCTAGATGATAAACAAAAATAAATGAAAGCAGAGGAAATGCCATTTTATATAGGATGGTTAGGGAAGGCCTCTCTGGGTGGTGGATAGTAGTTACCTAAAGGACGAGAAGAAGCCAGTCACAGAACAGAGGGAGGATTATATTCCAGCAGAGGAAACTGGTTGCAGAGTCCTGAGGAAGTCTGGGATAGGTGTGTTGAAGGAAGAGGAAGGGTGTTCTGTAGCGGAGGGAGGGAGTGTGGTTGGAGAGAGAGCCAAGGACCAAATAGATGTGCAGAGCCTTTGAATTCTGTCTGAGGAAGCACAGTAGAAAGTTGTGAGCAACTGCGTGACATGTGGTGATTGAGCTTTTCGGGTCACTTCAGTGCCTGTGGAGAGAAGTTGCTCAAAGGGAGACACTGGGATAGAAGCAGAGAGGCTGATGAGGAAGCCGTGGAGTCACTTAGGGCAAGTTTGTGGTGGTTCTGCAAGAGAGATGGTGGGAAGGGCCGTGGCCTTGTGATGTTTCAGAGGAGGCTGGTAGTCTCAATGGTGACTGTTAGGGGCTTTAGTGTTCTGTTTTATTTACCTCTCTTTCCACTGTAGACAAAGTGGGGGGTGCTAGTCACAAAGAAATTCTTCTGTAGAAACTTCCTGAATGTCCGTTCTTGAACAATAGCGTCATGTTTGCCGTTTATCTCCTCTCCATTCCATTGTGCCTTAGCACATTGTCTCCACCAAACTTGATAGAGATTTTACTTTAGTGCAGTGTTCATATTTTACTTCCTCAGAAAGCCATATTTCATCAAGGTCACAACTAAACACTAAAAGTAACTAAACAAAAATTCCATCTTTCAAACATATACTGGCAGTTCTGTGATTCAGAAATAAAAAATGTTGAAGGAAGCAAAAGTCAGAAGGGCTTAAGAAAACTCAAATTCAAACATTTTCATTTCTATGATCGTTAAGGAAGGCATAACTTAATTAAATAATAGTTTTTGATGGTTATAATTTATCTTTAAAACTAAACAAGTTTTGGGCTATGGAGAGGTTCAGACAATGCATTGCCTACTAAATGAGCATGAGAAGCTGAGCTGGAATCCCTGGAACCTGTGTAAAAGCCAGGTACTGCCACACTTGTTTTGCCTCCAGCGGATGGGGACAAGCAGATCTCTAGCTTATTAGCCAGTTAGCCTACCTGAATTTATGAGTTCCAGATTTGTTGAGGGACCCTGTCTCAACAAAAGAACATGGATAGCAATCAAGGAAGATACTCAGTGTTGATCTGTAGCCTACACATGCACACATGCAGATATCCACACAAATACATATATAGTCTCTCTTGCGCGTGGGTGCGTGCACACACACACACACACACACACACACACACACACACACACAGGAGATAATAGGGTGTAATACAAAAAGAATTTTCAAATTTTATCTCTATATAAATTATAGCATATCTCCTTTTATAATTGGATAAATAATGAAGGTTGATTTGACTAGAATGTTTGCTGGTACTCTTATAGATCTAAAAGTTTTACCTTTGTCTATCTCATTCAGGGAAGTACAAGACACAGCTTCAGAGTGTGACTCCTTGAACTCTTCCATTGGAAGGAAACAGTCTCCTCCTTCAAGCCTTGAGATATACCAAACATTGTCTTCTCGAAAGGTATCAAGAGATGAGCTTTCCCTGGAGGATTCTTCCAGGGGGGATTCGCCAGTGACAGCAGATGTCTCCCGGGGCTCCCCTGAGTGTTTGGGACTGACAGAAACCAAGAGCATGATCTTCAGTCCTGCCAGCAAAGTATACAATGGCATCTTGGAGAAATCCTGTAGCATGAACCAACTTTCTAGTGGCATCCCGGTGCCTAAACCTCGACACACATCATGTTCCTCAACTGGCAATGACAGCAAGCCAGTTCAGGAAGCCTCGAATGTTTCCAGAATAAGCAGCATCCCACATGACCTTTGTCATAATGGCGAGAAAAGCAAAAAGCCATCAAAAATCAAAAGTCTTTTCAAGAAGAAGTCTAAGTGACTCAGCGACTTGATGGAATTCCATTCAAGTGGCATCTGTGAACTTTATCTCCCACCCTCCACTCCGTTTTTATTTTTATTTTAGGAATGTAACTCCATTGGGGCTTTCCAGAGTTGATGCCATAGTGGAAATGTCCTTAAGGGCAACTGTCTACTGTCCGATGATTTAACAGACTACGCCATCAATTCATCAAGGCCGCCATTACCGAAGAGTCATCGAGAGGAGACAGTCAATTTACAGTTATTTCCGCCTATTTATTTCTGCATTGATGTTAGTGATGTATACACAGCATTCTGTTGAAAGCCGCTATGGACTTACAAGCTTTAATGGACTGTAAGCCAGCATGGGCTTGCAAAAATTTCTTGTTTACCAGAATATCTTCTTATCTTTCCACAGAGCTGTTTCCATCATGGACTAAATAACTTAAAAGAAGTAAAACTAATTGCACTACTGTTTTCCAGACTGGAAAAAAAAAAATCTCTGCAAGTAAAACTGTATAGAGTGTATAAAATGTGGATAGGGGACTGTTTTCACTTTTAGATCCAAATGGGTTTTTAAGTAAAAACTAGAGTTTCTAATTGACTTGCTTTCTGGAAATGAAAACCCACACTTTTATTATGGGACGCTTCTTCAAATGCATTTATTATAAAGTTTCAAGTCCTGCTGTAAAGATCATGTTTTGTTTTCCCAGGGCTTTCACTGTGATTTACTGCACTGCAGGCTGTATGATAAAATATAAATAATGTAAAGAGAGAAGGCTCTTGATTCCTTATACACATGAAGAGTTCAAACTTGATGGAAGGACTTAAAACATTCACATGCTTAAACTGAGATGGGGGTGGGGAATCGGGCACTTGTTTACAGACTTTGAATAAATGCAAAGGATTTATGGTTTGAAAAATTTGTACTGTGGAAAAGATAATAAATTGGAGACATTATTGTGTGGGATTGTGCTGATTTTTGTTGATAACATTCCACTAAAAACACTGTTTTCTGAAGAGCTATGTAAGCTGTCCTGTTGCTTAATTGCAGTATAAGAAATAGTGATGTTTTGGAACTAAGTTGTCAACAAATTTCTTTGTTTTATATTGTTTGTCATATTTTTATGTAGTTTGAAATGTTTAAATGTTCTAATACCAAGATTAACAAATATAAATTTATGGTGCATTTAGATTGCGTTGTATCAGTTTGTAAATTTTGGAATTGGTTAGATGATAGGCTAGTCTGAGAGCAGTGTCACATAGAACAATAGCACATGAACATTTCCTCTTACTCAGCTCTTAGAACCGCAGTCAGAATTATTTGGAAATGTGATGAGGATGGGTGATTGGGTGAAATCTGATACATGTTAACTAGATTTTATTTATTTATTTTTTTAGTACTGGCTAATGTACATAATGTCTAACTCAGTGCTGTATATGTGGGGATGCTGATAGACAAGTGAGAAGTTCTTTTGAGATTTGCTTAACAGGAATGCTTTCTTAAGAAGCTGAATTTCATGATCTTCCATGAGTTGTGATTATTTGCATTGGTCCTGTTGTTAAAATTGTCAAGGTCTTAAATGGTATCCACAGAGGCTGATGATTACATGGTTACAGATCAACTCCTAGGAACTTAAGTTGGCTGTCTGAAGTGAAGATTCTTTGTGCAGATAAGGTAAGATATTATGAAAGATGGAGTTCAGAAGCAGCTCTGGAGCACTACAGAAAGGGAAACAGTTGTGCATAAAGAATTAGAAAATTCTGGGAACCCTCAGAGTGAATGGGATGCTTTGTCTTTCCCATGGTTGGACAAGAGGCATTTTCTTTGATAATTGCAGCAGAGATAAGAGCTTTGTGGTTTGGTGGATAGAAAAGGTCAAAGCTACTAGAGCGTGGAGTGTGCTGGTAGGCGGCTTAGCTTGCAAGATTCTGATCGGACATTTTAGGTCAGAACCAGGTAGAGACTAGGAGAGGCTGGCCTGATAATGTGTGGGTGGTTTTAGGCAAGGAGTACATTGTGCATACCAGATTACACGTGTGTAAACAGATCCAACCAAGGGATATTCACTGTTGCATATTGTCATATTATTTGCACTAATAACAGTATTTGGAAATTCAACAGAACAGATTGGAGTTGTGGGAAGCCATAGTCATTTCTGTGCTACATCACACATAAAATGTTGGGCATTTCTGTAAGCGTTACATACATTTGTCGCCTTACTCTAGCCTTTCAAAATTACAGTGTTTGCCTGGTTCTTCCTTACTGGAAAAAGAGAAAGAATCCTGGTAGAGACGTATGAAGAAAAAACAATAGCACACAGTTCAAATTCTGCTATCTGAACTGCTTTTGCTCTCCGAGGTGACTTCTGCTAGATATTTTTCAAAATAGTTATGTATTTTACATAATTGAAATCATTTTTATATCATGCCTTTTCACTTTCGGCACAAGCATTTCTCCAACCCTAAAAATTATTTACAAATAACATTTTAGTTATTATCTAATAGTATAGCATTGTATGGATTTACTACAATCTTTTAAAACATTCTGTCATTTAACATTAAAATATATATTATTTAAAATACTAGTCTGTTATTTAACATTATATAATATGTAATCATTTAAAACAATCTCATTAAACATTAGACTGCTAACAAATTTATTACATGTGGAGTAATAGCATTTAACACTTGTTGAATACTCTCTATACCAGGCACTGTTTTAAACTATGGTACATATTCTAATTTAATCTTTATACCAACCTGTACAATAGCTGCATCTCATCGTTATCGTCGTCGTCGTCATCATCATCATCATCATCATCATCATCATCATCATCATCATCATCTCACTCTTTTCCCAATGGCCAGACAGCCCAGACTTTAATAGGTTGTTTAGGACATGTGGTTAGTGGTAGAGAGCACTGCTCTTAATGTCTGAAGAATACTGTGTAAATTCTCTTTCTTAGTGTGTTTTAAGAGAATGTATAACAAAATGTGAAGATAATTTTAGTTCACACCTACATACATATGCATATATATGTTTGTCTCACATGTACTTTGGGGGTAACTTTAAGGCCTTAGAGCCATGTTCACATCCTCTCCCCAAGATACTGAGTGTGAGTACCCCTTTAATTCATTCATTTCTGAATTGCTGTTTTGTTAAGGCTTCACTAACTTCATAGGAAAAGAATGTCTAGAGATCAGACAGTTTTTACTCTTTTGTTAGCCTGTATTTTTCACCTTAGTGAGTTGCTTGTTCATTTTTTTTTTATATTTTTTGCTCATAAGTTCTTAAAGATCTAGTGTTTTTCTAAATCTTTTACAATGACTCCTTCAAATATAACTATTGTGTTTTGTTTAACAATAAAGCTAAGTTTTCTTTTAATGTAGATATATTATTCATTCTTATCTTAAAAGTAAGTGGAAGGAAAACTAGGTTCAAGTTTTAGTCTTACTGATCTTCTGTTTCGAATCTTAACTTTGTTTCTGTAGCTGAGATGGATTTCCCCACAGTGTTACAGGGAAACAAGAATATGGAGGCAACGGTGACATCTCCTCCTCCTTAGTACATGTTTGTGCATGTGTGGACTCCTTCATGTGCACAGCATGTGTGTGCATGCCTATAGGAGGCAGAAATTATGAATGGATATCAGGTATCTTCATCCATCACACTCTACCTTACTTTTTGAGACAGGCTCTCTCACTGAACTGAGTTTCCAGATTCAGCAGTGTGGCTGCTCCGTGAGCCCCAGGAGTCTGCTGTCTCTGGCTCCCCAGCACTGGAATTACAGGCTTGCACTGCTGCTTGTGACTTTTTACATGGATGCTGGGAGTCTGAACTCAAATTCATGCTTGCACAGCCAACATTCTACCCAACAAACCATCTCCTTAGCCCCCAGGGTCATCTTAATTCCTTCAACTAATATTTAGTAGTTTACCTTGTACCACGTGTTGTGAGAAGCCCCAAACATGTGAATACTGATGTTACAGGTTCTTGCTGTAAAGGAACCTAATGTGTAATAGGAGAAGGAGATGAGATGAAAATCCTTGTATGTTAGAAATATATAGTGACTGTTGAGGAGCTAGAGATTCATGGATAGAACAAGTATGTATTCCATAGCTTTAATAAATTAAAGATAGTTCAGTGGTGCTCCTTTGTCAAAGACATCAAGAGACTGGCTATGGGGCTACCATAGGACCAAGGACAAGTTAGTTTTAGCTCTCTCATTAGTATGGCTTCTCAAATGAGCTGGCACTTACTGAATTCCAGCAAACCATTTAACAGCCATGAGGTAAGTTGTCCAAAGCACAGCATAGTACTGTTTAAAAGCTGTTTCCCCCACCAGCTATTATGGGCAAGTCTGCTGAAAGACATCATCCTTCAGAGATATCTGAGTAGATGTAAGCTGATTGTGAACGAATTAGGGTCCAGTGGACTTCAGACTAAGTTTCCGGAGTTCATCTTTGTCCTAAGATTGGGTTTTCTACAAGTCTTATAAGTTCTAAGGACCCTGTAGAAGACCATATCCACTATAGACTCAGATGCAAAATTGTAGAGCAGCCTCATTTTAGAGCAGCCTGATTTCTCTGTGTGACTAGATTGAGGCCAATCCCAAGCATCCTCTTCAGAGTTACGTGGTCCTTGCTGCTGGATTTTGAAGCACCCTAGTGCAGCTTGTACTGAATCAAGACCATCTGCATCAGCCTCCAGAAGCGAGGGAAGGTACTCAGCTACAGTAAGGCAGGCAGTTGGCCTCTGCCTGCAGAAGCTCTGCAGGTAGGTGCATGCCAGCAGGCTGCAGTGATGGAGCTGCTCCATCTCCAGCTCTGCAAGTGGCAGAAGGGCTTCTGCCCTCTCCAGGCACCTTCTTCCTTTAACAGTCCAACTCTAGAAGCTGCTACCTGTGTCAAAGCAGTTTGTCTTTTGGAGTGGACTTGAATGTCCCATGCAGCTGTTGCACTTCTCTGAGTGCCATTTCCTTAATAGGAGTAGCTCTAAAATGTCCATGTAGTACCTTCTCCTATGTGTGAAAATTACAGAGGCTTGAGCATATCAACCCCTGGCCCCGAGGTACCAGCATGTAGGCTGAAAGGTTTTCAAAGCCAGTGTGTGTGGGGGTTTGTTTGATTCTTCCCCATAAAAAAGCTATTGACATTGAAGGCATATCTGAGTAACCAGGAAGTCCGAGGCATTAAAGGGACTGAAGGGGGAAATGAAGCCTAGGTGCAATAGTGAACTGCTGTGTGAGAGGTTCCCTTTGACATTTAAAGGTTAGAACACGAGCCAGGACAGAGCACTGAGCATTGACCACGGACAAGGGGAGAAGGGGAGGAGAGGGGAAAAGTACATGTCACAGCTTGCCCACTTAACCTTGATATCGCAGTACAATGATGGTTACTTGTTGACCTGAGAGACTCAATTACATAAGTTGCAGGAGCCTGCCTTTCTTAGCTCCACACCCCAAATGATGGACGCTTCAGGAATCCTGTCTGATTAGTGCAGAAATGAGTGACAGGCACTATTGCTGTCTTCAAGTTCCATATAGTTAAGGATCTTCATGAGTTTAATCATTAGGAACTAGTTGAAGAGTAACCAATATAGGTATAAGCATTGAGTCTTATGGCATGGAGTCACCTGTATATGTTCATGCAGAAACACTTTTAGAGCCAGACTAATGAGTAGTGACTGAATAAGCCTAGTAGGAAGAATTGATACTTTAATTTCAGGTTGTTTTAGATTTTTATGTGCTTAGTATAGTTACTTAGTGTATTCGGTCTTGGTGTCAATGCCTTCTAGATGCAGCATTTAATGGCTGTACTACGTATTTGGTAATTAATGTTACTAGAACTGATTCTTTAATTATGTGGTAAGAATCTACAGTGTGCTGGCTACTAAGCAAATAACAAAGATCACCAGAGTTCTTACCTCTCTTGGGCAGAAATGCCCCCAGACTATCTGAAT